TAGCGTTGTTATTGTAATTAGTTTTGATCATTTATTATGGTGTCATTACTGTGATGTACAATGTATCGAATCTGATAATGCAGTTTTTTTGGCCTCACTCAATTTCGCAAAATTCATCTACCATTCTCAAATCCAAAGCGTACAACAAACTTCGCACCATAATCATTTCTTTCGTCCAATTGAAACAAAACTTAACAAAATTATAGCTCAACATTGAATTGATGTTAAGATTTGCTACTGCTAATCTTAAGAAATCTAATCTTAATAGCCCAAACAACTCGGTGATTACTAGTGTTCACCGACTCATCACTGCTAGTTTCAACCAAATTGATATTAGAATTATTTTAAGTGAACTTGGAAGTAATTGACTTGCCACTGCAATCTCAACCAAATCTTCCCAAGCATCCATTTTTTAATTTATCAATATTAATTTTCTCCTTTCGAGTTTTAAGTGTAGTGTGTGCGCGGATAAAATGTGGTGTCTACTATGATGAGGATGATGATGATGATGGCGGGGCCATGGATGCCAACAAGCCTGAGCCCCCACTTTCTCCACTTGGGCGCCTTCCTCCACGACGCTGATCCGAGAGAGGCGAGTCCTCCTCCGGTCCTTCTGTTCCGTCGATGGATTTCTTCACTGAGCAGTTCAACCAGATGGGCCTCTAGTTTCAGCAGCTCGCCCTCCAAAACTAGCAGCTCCTAGACCACCAACACCAATTTCAGCAGCAGTATTCAGCACACCAGACTGAGTACTACACCAGGATGGCTGTTTTCAACGAGCGCCTCGACCGTTTCGAGACTCAGTAGGGTGTCACCCTTGCTCACATCGAGCGGGAGCGCGGTCGCAGCCGTCGCATGATGGAGTACCAGGAGCACCTGCTTCAGTCCCGTCAACCGCCGCAGGAGCATCACTGGACCACTCGGTGGGAGCACTAACCACCACCACCATCCCCACCACTAGGCGACCTTGGCGACCTAATGGACCATATTGAATCGACCACCTCGAGTAGGCTCTACTCACAGGCTCTTTTCTGTGTTTTTGTGTGTTTTGTTTTGTTTTGTTTTGTTTTGGGAAGGAGTACAAACTGGTTTTTTATGTGTTTAGTTTATTTTTCTTTTGGATATTGTAGTATTAGGGTGACAAATCTACCTAACGCCTTTGTATTTGAGTGATTGTTTTTGCTCTAGCCCGTGTTCTTGTTTCGACTAGTCCCATTTCCAGTCCTCCTCCCGTCTGACTGGTCCACTTTCCAGCCCATCAATAGTCTGTTTTTACCGGTAACATCATTCCCCTTCTCTTCCCCTCTTCTCTATTGAGGGCAATGTAGGTCTTAAGTGTGGGGGATGTTTATATTTGACTGCTTAGTGTGTTTGTGTGCTTGGAGCCTAGTCCACTGTCCAAATTTCTATTTGAGGACTCCAAGTATGTGTTCCTTGCAATGACCTGCTCAGTATGCTTTGAATTGACAGTCTTTATAGTACTATGCAATCTAGGAAGATAATGTAACGCTATGGAGGATGCTGAAGTATAAGATATTTCCTATCTTCCTTTTTGTTGTGCCAGTTGATTGTGTGAACTAGTGGATGTAGGACTTTCGATTCATGTGACATAGATGACTCTCTCTTGTTGTGTATGGACTGATGTTTTGTATAAGGGTGCTTAATGCGTAATGATAAAGCAGTTGGTACTCCATGTTAGAAAAATTGAAATCTTAAACATGGGGTAAGCCTAACGTGTGTGGCACCGTTCATTGCACGAAATCGGGTTTTGGAATAGATTTTAGTGATCCTTAGTGGGGTAGGCCTACAAGGTGAAGCTAAGCCGTCTCTGGTACAAGTAAAAATTCCACCCGTTGAACGATTTGCCTACTTGAGGAGGTGTTTTTAAGGGCACGGATAGAGCTTCTGACTTGCATTAATTTCATTGACCCTCCACACGAAGTGAGGAAAAGGAGTTAAAAGAAGTACTCTAATGAGCGACAGATGTATAGAAACTGCTCTTGCTCACCTAATAAGGGTCGACCGCGCATAAAAACTGCAGTTGGAACCCAAGCAAAGTGCAAATGTGAAAAAGAAAGAAAAAGAAACAAATGGTAGGGAAAAGGGGTTCCAACAAGTGAAAAGGAATGAAAGAGCACCCAATACGGATATAGTCCTTGGTTGTTGTGTTATGTGAGTGAGTCTCTTTGTCCATGAATTGTATGTATTAAGTCCACTGCTTCACATGATCCTCATGTGAGTCTACTACTCGCATTGAGGGAAATAGGGGATGTCTTAGAAACTGGTTGACCTCGTAAGTTGCTAAATTATCTAGAAAGACCTCCTATCAACGATCGGGGTTGCATGGTGCTGTAGAGGTCTAGAGAGTTGCATTGGTTTGAGCCAGTTTTTCTTGTGGACAAGCAAACGGTGAAGTGGGGGTGGGGGGATTTGATAAACCGTTATTTGTACATGATATTTCCCACTAATCTTGAACTGTTTGAGAATTGATTGTCGTGTTATAAGCTGATTTCACGCTAGGTTGTGCTTTTATGTCATATTTCAGGACCTGAAGCGGAAAGGAATGCTTGGAGGTGAGTTTCGGATAAAAAACACCAAGGAAACAGAAGGATGAGTGCAAGAACTAAAACCCCAGGTCTGGTCATTAAAAACCCGGCCGGGGAAATGGCTCAGAGACTAGGGAATCACTCTATAGATTTTACCTAGTCTGGACTCCTAGTTCCCTGACCGGGTAATTTCAAAGGGATACCGGGTTTTAACCCAATAGGCTGCGCACCGTTTTGCTATTACCCGACCGATTTGCCTTAAACCCGACCGGGTAATTTGACCAGGTTTCTGACAGAAGAGCTGTTAGGTGCGAATTATGGGTTCTTTGTCAATTATTCAAGTTTTGGAGAAAGAAGGTGAAACCTAGAGAGAGAAAGCGACGAACTAAACCTCCAAAGTGACATAGATCGAGTTTTGACGCCATTGGAGCTTGATTGAAGGTTGGAGAAGTGTCGATTGACAGCCAGAAGCTAATTTTCATTCTCCACAGAATGATTTCCACATCTGAAGCTGATTTCTCTTTTCTCTCTATGGAGTAAACTCTCTCTCTCACCTGGGTATGAAGAACCCTAGATTTGTATGTTTGGTTTGGATATATGAACCCAAGTACATGATCTTTTGACATTGATTATATTCAAGTGAGCATGATTTTCTGAATTGCATGAATCCTGATCAAATTCTTGTAGTTTCTGCTTTGATCTAGAAAGAGAATATTTGTATAGGTTGATAGAACACCCTTAATTGAAGGTGGAGAATTGACTACTTTAGTCAATGAGTCAATTTTATGCTCTGTACTGGATTTACTCCAGTAGAAGAGGTTTTACATGTTAGGGCCTCAGTTTGTTTACTCTGGTGGAGGTTAGTCGCCCGCTGGGTACTCAGATTGAGAGGGTCTAGAGACCTTTAGTCGAAACTTTAGACTGGATAAGAACTTTCCGCAGTATAACTGGCATTAAATCTGAACTTGGTGAATTATAACCTGGCTTAACTGCAATCTAGGGGGAACCATATCTGGGTGACCTCTCTCAAACTTGAACTACAATCTTTACCGCTTTTTTTTTCTTTAGTTTAGTTATAATCTTACTATAGTTAAACCGCTAGATAACAAGAACATCACAGAGTAGTCATCCCATCTAGGACCCGAGTTGACAATTAAAGCGAAACCCGCTATACTACGCATTAGTATGTGTTACACTTGGCCACTTAACCTTGGTCGATGATGTTGCATGTGAATGGTTGAATTCGGATTATAGAACAAGGTTACACATTGGATAGGGGACTGGAGCAGGATGGGTTGGTCGTCAATGGCATGATATCGTAGTGGAAGAGGTCTGGCCGGAGCTAGCGATCGTCACGAGAAATGTCATGATAAAGCGATGAGGTAAGAGTTGTCTAGAATTGAAGTATTATTGGAATAGTTACGGGAGCAGTGACGAAGACATGGGAATTTGGGAGAATGATGGGTTTTACGGGATATGGGTATAAAGGAATTTTTGTTGCCATGGTTAAATTATGCTTTTTAAGTGTTTTTAGTCACTAGTGCCAGTCCGTTTTCATTTGAGATTTTGAGATAGAGCAGCTGTTATGTTCTTGAGACTTTAAAAATGAGCAGCAGTTATGCTCTTAAGAATCGTGGTGAAGAGCCACCACAATAAGTTTAAGATGTTAGTGGGATAAATCATTACGACTTTCCTAACTACGTTTAAGTTTAAGGAAAATCTGGATGGCTTCTCATATGTATGAGTTGCGCAATCGGATTAGCTAGTGAGTAATCCCCGTGTCACTCAAGTATTCAAGTAGAGATTTGAGCTTTAAGAATGGAGAGTAAATGTAGCTCACGTACAACTTTAAGAGTTAAGATTTTTTTTAGAGTGGAAGTATAAACAACTTCCACCAGTTTAAGATAATTGTCTTAAGTAAAGTATTCAAGTACTAGAGATTTAAAACGTAAGGGCGTAGACTGACCCCATCTCACTCACTAGGCCTTAGTAAAGGAATGAGCGAGAACCAGCACGCTAGCAGTTAGTTAGAGAGCAGCGAGATCGAGAGAACGGTTCGAGGCAAGCCAGCTAGAGGAGGACGGTTCGCACGTCACGAAGGATGCCTAGTCAAGGTTTTCAATAAGCGGCAGCATTAGGTACTTCTTAGTTATTTCATTTTATGATTATGAGTATAGACTGGAGATTCATATTAAAATTTTATGATTGAAGTTCGCCAAGTGTTAGGGCTTTGTTTTAAGAAGTTATAGTTTATTCTCAGTATTTGTTAAAGTTATTTATGAAAAGTTTTCGCTATTTTCCTAAGTATTTACAGTTCTTATTTGTTTCATGGTTTATAAAGGGTATTTTGGTAAAAGTAGTACCCGAATGGGTTAGAATTTCATGGTTTATAAAGAATATTTTAGTAAAAGTAGTACTCGGCCTAGTTAGGGTGTTACTATATATATATATATCCGATCATTTACATATTTCTTATACATGATAACAACAGAACCAAATTCATTTCACTGAAAAGAATGAGAAGGGAAAGTATATGTATTACCACATATATATAGATCTTAACTGATGAATGTACGCACATACAACTCAAATCAAATTAAGAGCAAGCAAGCGAGAAATTAAGTAAATATAATTTGGCAGAAATGTATAATATAGCAAGGAGTTGGTAATGAAACTCAAATCCAGGTGGGGGTATTCCTTCGAAAGATTCCAAATCCGTAAGTGGAGTTGAAAATTTCAAGGAGCACGGGAAACTGTAGCTTGATGAACAAGGTAACGGGAAAAGAAGCCATCAAAGTGATCGGGAACACAAAGGCCATGTTTCGGTCCATGACGATTACGATGGTGGCGCAAAAGGTAAGCATCATGGCGGCGATGGAAACGAAGAGTGCCGACAATCCGATGATGAGCTTGGTGGGAAGGGAGCGGAGGAAGTCCTGCTCCGAGTAGCGTGACGTGAAGATTCCGAGGAACATCAGCACGGAAGTAGAGGCCGCAAAGAGGGAGATGGAGTCCGACAGGATGAAGACTCGGAACCACCTGTCCTTCAGAAAATTGGGAAGGCCCGTTTTGTCGTCGCTGCCTCCCGGAGGTGTGAACGCGGCGGTGAACATGATGGTGATGATGAGAGCTGCGACGACGGAGCTGGAAGTGGCGGTTTCTTTCATCCACTTTTCACCTGCAGCGGCCAGATCTCTGTGTGTTCTTGTAAATATTTGCCTTGCCGTTTCGCCTTCCTTGTTGGTGTTCTCCTTGTAACTTGGGTTTATCACACGCTCCACTTCCTCAAACCATTGCAGCTCCCTTTGCATCTGAAGAGCCGCACCAGAGATGCGAGAGAGCTTGGTTGAAGGAGACAAGACTCCAGCCATGTGCAGCATGGTGTTGCTGTCCTTGTCTACCGAGGAGACGATGGATGCCTTCTCTGGCAAAGGATAGAGAAGGTTGAAAATCTTTTCCTGCCGATACTGGACCGCGGTCATGAACACGCTTCTGCCGTCCTTGTCAAACTTGTGCAACAGCGCAGGGCAAGCCCTAATGGCCTCTTGGACGAATTCGACTATGCCATTCTCGATGGCTTTGTCGAACGCTTCAAATATCCCATGGCTCCTAAGTGTCCCAGAGTCAGGGGAGATGGAGGACATGTGCTGGCATGTAAGCCTTAAGAGCTCAGCTGAGCAAATATGGACCCTTTTCAACTCATTCAGCGTCTTTGGTCCTGAGAGAATTATAATAATTAGCGGGGAATGCATTTGAAAACAAAGAGAAGCAAGAAATTAACAAGCACTTGAGGTGAAAATTAATTAAGGCATCCACGCACGCACCTGATATCTTTATCATGGTTGTATGGTTGTTTGTTTTGGTGGATGGCGCGTTATTAGTAGGGCTACCCGTAAGTCTATCTTTTTCATGAGGTGAATAAGGAGGCATTTGTCCACTTTCAACGTCTAGTGATGTACGATTAGCCGCGTGTTCGGAAGGTTTCAGAGGAAGTGGCAGCGTTACATGTATCACTGTTTAGTAAGTAACCAAGTAACATACATATATTATCAATTAAGAGAAGCCGTTAGTACTCATATTAATTTAAATGAATGATGGTAATGAAGATAGAATAGAATACTAACATGAATATATCCATCGTTGCCAAAAGTGAAGTTGAGTTCCGCTGGGGAATGCATGGGGCATGAGAGATAGCTGGAGAGCAGCATTAGAGTTTTTGGCATCGTTCATCGTCGCCAGGTCTGGGTAGCACATCAGCATATCCACTGCAATGTCTGCATGCACGTACCCACATAATATTAGCTGGGTAACATTTTATATATTAATTTCACCATTTACTATAATGACAGAATAAAGAGGTAGGTATGTACCGAACATCTGGGCGAGGATACAACACTTAAGAATATTGGAGCCCAACTTGCCACCGTCAACCCTGTAAAGCCAATGAATGGAAGTTTGAGAGTAAAGGCAAGTGGCGAGTTCCTTGTGGTTCTTGCCACAGGCCTCTCTCAAAGGCGTCATCTGGCGTTTATTCACCATCCTCAACAACTTGGGGTTCATCTGCACCATGCGCTCCGCCAGCTGCTTCTGCCCACTCGCTGCCGCGAAATGCAAGACTGTGTTGCCGCCAGCATCCTGGAGCTCGAGGTTCGCACCGTTCATGTTCTTCAGAAGCTCCTCCACCATTTCCCAATTCCCCAGTTTGGCAGCCAGATGGAGCGGCGTCCGATGCCGCGGCGGGAACTTGTAGCTCATCAACTGCGGATCAAAGTCATTGCTCCTGATTCTTTCTATCTGACCTTTGTGAACCGCTTCGTGCAGTTTCCAGTGCTCCAACTTCATGTCCACCTCGGGGATCCTCCTTTCTGTAAGTGCGTGGATCAAAGGTCGTATTGGAAAAATTAGATCAAAATTAAATTTCTCACTCACAAGATCAAATGCATCGTAACAAGTTATGCAAGGGTATAATTAATTAGATTAAATTCAATTTATTTGGTCTAATACTTTTCCTAAGTAGCTAATATCTCCTTCATTTTAACTTGAATTTTAGATCCTAAAAAAATAGGTTCATTCTCATCTACAAATTAATTTTCACTTTTCACATATTTCGATCAACTACCACCATCCTACAAATTTACATTCATACCATTATGGTCTATTTTCATATTGCAATAAATATAATTTTCAATATCATCATGATCTATTCACGTAATTCACTCATTAAAAAAATATATCAAAATGGATGTCATTTTTTAATAATATTATCCAAAAATATTTCAAATTCAAGTTAAAACTAATTAGATATAGTATATTTAATTTCAATGAAACATGGTACATAACTTTTGCGTTGATGCACTATATCTTTCATAATTATGACATTTGATGCATTTCTACAAATTATGATCATCGATGATCGTTTCTTATTATATGTGATGAAATCCAGTGCGGACAGTTGCCAGATTGGTATTGTCGTTGAGCGCGTGTTCCCAGATCTAAGTGTCTGTTGGGCTTTATTTGAAAGATTGGGGTTGAGAATGAGCAGTCGTTTTTTTGTGGGACCTGATTTATTGGATTATTGATCAGGCCATGCTTTGGCTTATCGGGTCTAACAAAAAGTACACTTATTACTTATTATTTGTGGTATTATTGGTAGTTGATTGAAATTTAATATTTCATAAGATAGCCAAAAATCAAGTTATGAGCGCATTTATTTAGAGTGCTTTACATTTATTTTAGGTAAATATTTCACATCCTTCAGCCTATTTAAGTAAGCCCAAATATTTCTTCGGGTAATATATATCTATTAACCAAATTTTTTTCGAATTTTTTTTATTTCATCCAAATCTATTAGAATACTATTTATTAACCAAACATTAAATCTCCGTTAACTTTTCCGTTTAATGATGGTGAGCAGTCATATGTGGCGCTGAGTTGGAAGGAATATTCTCACGTGGAAGTAAAAAATGCCACATCAGGCGATCAACCATTGATCATTTTTTTTGCATTCTTTTTTATTACGCAAACCTATTGAATTACTAATAATTAGCCAAATGTTAACTTTCAAGTACCAAATTTGTTAGTAATATTGACTTGGCAACATGATACTGACTTGAAAGAGACACATGGAGATCAACATTCCAAAATTCTAGTATTTTAACTAAGAAAAAATTGTTCAAAAATTATTATCGATAATGTATAAATGACTAATAAAAAAGAATGCGAGAAAGGTTTGGCTAATAATTAGTGTTTACCCAGTTTATTTTATTCATTGATGAGGTGACAGCTGAGTTGGACGTTAAGAAGGAGCACCGTTAAAAAATAGTTAACGATAACGAATTAATGGCTATTACTTGGACGTCTTACATACCAAACGTTTGATTAATTTTTAGTACTTCGATAAATTTGACTACTAAAAAAGAATCTGAAAAAGATTTGACTAATAAATAGTCATTACCATATTTCTTCGTTAGCTCTTTTTTCACCTCTCTCATTAGGTAGTCGAAATAGAATTATGATTTATGAGTTTATTATTCTATCAATCTTTGAAAGAATCTTCTTTTTCAGTTAAAAAAACAGTAGCTCTTTGTTTTATAAAAAGCAATTCTTCATTTTTTGTCAATGTTTTGTTGAAAGCTACTAAACATTGTTATGCCAACTAATAATGATATAAGCATATGAAAATTATGTAACATAAGTTTCAAATACAACTCAGTGAAGATGATCGAAAACTTATAATTTTGTTTATCAGTTTACTATCCACCTGTAAAAGGAAATATATTCAACCAAATAGTACATCAGAAATTGTATGTATAAAATATTCGTTATTTTCGTAAGAGATTTTAAGTAAAATGATTATATAAAATCTAGGATGAAATTAAAACATCAATACCAAAAATCACAGACAACACCCCAAAATTGACGCTAATAAGAATATTTATCAAAAGCTTATATTTATTTTAACAAACTCATTTTATAATACATTAATTTTTCTCTTTTATATTAAACTATGAATAAGGGGTTCAGTCTAGTTGTAATAACACTAGTTTTGAATTTAGAGTTTCTAGATTCAAATCCTTTTATGTAGTACCTATAGAATATAAAACTCAAATATTACTAATTTATGTTGGACTTTTAAGCATATATATTATTATGTTAAAATGATGTGTTGTATCATTAAGATAATATATGATTGTCATATTGTACCCGTTATGTGTGCTTCAAAAAATAGCATCGTCGATTATAATATTTTATTAAATTGATTGTTAAACTTTGGGATGAGAGCTTAAAATATAATACCATACTTCTAAAGCTAAACAGGGTCATTTCAATATGAGTTCCAGGAGTATCACATAGTTCAACAGCATGTTGGAGATATATATATATAGAGAGAGAGTTGACTTTGAGCATAAGCATCTTTATTTTCACGTCTTAATTTTTTATTTACCATATAAAGTGAGATTAAGTGCAGTTGACAAATTACAATTATTATTTGAAAAATATAGCTAGTGTACGTTACAGTAGCAAATTAAATTAATTTGGAAAAGAAAGCACAAAGAAACAAATCAAACTAATTACAAGAAGAGATTAATTGAAAGAAGGAATAAAAAAGAAAATAAAAAGGCGTTCATTAATTATATATATTATACCCATGGTCCATGTACCGTATCGGCGGTTCAACTACGAAATACCAATATCAGAAGTTAAATCGATAGGTGATATTTAATGGTCTGACGGATGAACTATGATTAAACCACGATTTTATCATAAAATATCGTACCATTTACGATATCCGGTATGGTTTCATGGACCATGATTATAGCATAGAGGCAGATCTCAAAGTTTTTGTGCTAATAAGTTTATGGATATACATGGAAATTAATTGATGAAGGTAAAGTGTGGGTTTGAGATAATTAATTAAATAAAAGATTTGTCCATGGAATTAAGAAGATGAATTAATCAGATTCAGACATAGTAGTTAGGTTACGTAAAAACGTACCTTTGGGGCGGTTGGTCCGGTCCATATGGGCAAGGGTGTCCCATGCCTCCTTGGCGGAAGTGATGCCCCGAATCTGGTACAGCAGGTCGGAGCCGCACGAGATCTGAATGGCGTGCAGAGCCGCCGCGTTGAGACTCGCCGCGCTCTCCGATGAAGATTCCGGCAGCCCGTTGACGAGCAACTCCCACAGGTGTTGAGACCGGAAGTAGCTTTCCAGGCACACCCGCCAGTTCTCGTACCTTTTGTCTCCTACAGCCTCAAGAACACTCCTGCTCGGCACAATGACGTTGCCGCTGCTACTCGCCATTATTGAACTAGCTAGATCTGAGACACAGACAGACAGACAGACAGACAGACAGACAGGGAAGGCTAATTGTAATATGCACTCGTACCTTCTTTCGGGAAATGAAAGGAAAGGAAGGGAACGAACAAATTTATAGACTGCCGCGTCCCTTTAAGTCGTCTATCTTGCTGGTCAACTCGTCTATATCACCGTGATTAACCAGCTATTCCTCGCAGAAATAAAACAAAAATTATAACCACTTTGATTTCAACAAAAATTAAGAAAACTAAAACACGACTTATTCAGTAAGTCGTTTTATTTTATTGCTTAAAATGTAAATGCGGAAGCTAGAGAGATTAATATGCAGGAGGCAAACAATTAATTCATGCCACTGGGAAATTTAATATTATTTTATTAAACTACTGGAACCCATGATTTCATTCTAAATTAAAATTTGACACAGAATTTCATCTTCTCCAGATTTTTCCCATTCAAAGCTGACGGTAACAATGGAAAAAGAGGAGAGCAAAATGAGTTACAAAGTTAACTTCTTTTATAATTAAGGATTACATAGGTTGCCTTTTAATTTTAAATCTTACTTACAGAAGTACAACATGCAACTTTCAAATTGAAAATTAGTAGCACTACTACTAGACCAATTCTTTGTTCGCAGAATCAGATAGTTAATTAGACGATCTATTCGATTTACGATTTAATCAATTACCTCAAATTGACATAGCAAGATTCTGAATGGAAAAAAAGTTTATCCATCATCAATAACGTACATAATGAAATTATAGTTGTCTAAGGCTTTAAGGACTGAATATGTAGGAGAGTAATAATTTGCGACGAAGAAAAATATGGAATTTTAGTGAGGATGTGTTCTCGACCGACTTTGTATACAAGATTTTTACAAATGATAAATTTATGTAGATCGATGGTTATTTATAATTAAATTTCGGCTTATTTAATATTGGTTAAAATGTATTCTTGTCCTTCAATGTTGAAACCATTTTAGCAGTGTAGTCTTAGCAACTCCAATGTTAATAAGATCGACAATAAACGGGTCACTGATTCTGAAAATTATACGATAGATCATTCTTTTGCCTTTACTCTGGGTTTTGCATTTTATTCTTATCAACGTTCGAGAACTGTTTGATGAAGTATAAGTAAAGTAACTTTTACTTGAGCTTGGGAACAAGTAGAACCCTGCCTTTAATTATTATCAGAGTCAGTTATATAAATATAAATAAATGGACAGATAAGCTAACCAGATTCGAAATTGCATTTCCTGAATAAATAATAAAAATATGCAAGCTGTCTTCTTCATCCCAAAACCCAAGGATCATTATTATTTTCAAGTTAAAGCGTGATGTCAGTTGTAGTTCATAATGCCGACGTCACGCTGAGTGATGTACTCCAATATAAATATAATTAGTTTCTATTGGTTGGCAAGTAATGGGAAGTTTATGTTGGAAATGAATGTATATGAATAGCTTTGAAAGCTATAGAGTCTCTAGTGGAAAAAACTACCACATTGGTAGTTTTACTTGGTGAAATGTGTATAAAGATAGGAGCCTCTTTCCCAAGGGCATGCCCCTTGGGGTGACCCACTTTTGTGGGAGAGGGAGGACCTAATGGACCACCACACACGCGCGCGCGCCGTCCGTCCGACCGGTCGGTCGGTTGGTTCACTTGAGACTATATATTCTGAGGTATATTCCTAAGGATAATCGACTAAAACGGAATATTCGAAGGATAATCCCTCCGGGTTTATCTTAACCGACGGTTTTAATTAAGGAAGTAATTATCTTCCTTAATTAATCCGACTTATTCCCCAAGCAAGAGGGTATATTCCTAGGGGTTCGGCTCCTATAAATAGCCGCCTCCCCAGCCCCTCTAAACACATCACAACGAGCAGAAACACAAATAGAGAGAGTGTTTAGAGAGCTTCGGTTTTCGCACAAAACCGCGAGTATTGAGAGGAGCTGTTTTATCCTGGAGACGACCGGTTGATAGTCTGCCGTGCACATCGAAGGCAGTGCCGCGAACGTCTTAAAGAAAGCGACCTAGTCCGCGACTCAGCTCCAGATTCGGTAACCTCGTTCCTTTTGTTGTTCCGTCCCTAACAATTTTAAGACGTTCGCCTGCTGCTATGTCGACTGAACAGAACAACATGGCCGGATCTGGTGCTGTCGATATCAATAGACCCTTTCGCTTCGTTGGGGTCAACTTCCGTCGCTGGAGGCAAAAGATGGAGTTCTACCTGACAACCAAGAAGCTGGCCCACTGCCTCACCAGCATGCCTGTCGAGCTGCCGGAAGAAGCGACCGATGAGGAGAGGGCTGCTTCTGCCAGGGAAAGGGAGCATGACTTCCTGTGCAAGAACTACATCCTCAACGGCCTGGCAGACGATCTGTACGACTACTATGCGGACAGTAAGAACACCGCGATGATGATCTGGGATGTGCTTCAAAAGAAGTACGACACGGAGGAGGATGGAGCTAAGAAGTATGCTGTCAGCCGCTACCTGTGCTACCAGATGGTGGATGACAAGTCCGTCGAAGTTCAGTCCCACGAACTTCAGAAAATAGCTCATGAGATCGTCTCTGAAGGTATGCCTCTGGACGATCAATTTCAAGTTGCTTGCATTATTGATAAGCTGCCCCCTTCGTGGAAAGATTTTAAGAATATGCTTAGGCACAAAACCAAAGAATTTTCACTGGAAAGCTTGATTACTCGCCTAAGGATTGAGGAAGAGTCCCGCAAGCAGGATATGAAAGAAGAGGTGATGGTCGTCACTGCTAAACGACCCACCCCTAGAGCTCTTAAACCTAACCAGAAAGGGTTTAAGAGTAAGAACCAGCAGGTCCGCCCCCACCATAATGGTGCCTCTCGAGGTAACCAAAGGGTCATGGCCCAAACCTCTAAGAATGACCCACCGTTTATCTGCTATAACTGTGGAAAACCGGGTCATATGGCAAAGAAGTGCCGGAACAAGCAAAACCCTGCCGCTGCGGCCAGGGTTAACTTGACAGAAGAGGATTTGATAGCCATGATCACAGATATGATCGCTGAAGTTAACCTCACCGGTGACTCAGAAGGATGGTGGCTGGATACAGGTGCATCGAAGCATGTATGCAACAATCGTACTATGTTCAAAACATACACAGAAGCACCTGCTGACAAGAAAGTATTGTTGGGGACTACCCACACTACTATGGTTGCTGGTGAAGTGGAGCTGAACTTCACCTCTGGGAAGAAGATGGTGCTCAAGGATGTGTTGCACACTCCAGTGATAAGGAAGAATCTTGTTTCGGGATATCTTCTTAATAAGGCTGGGTTTAATCAAACTATTGGGGCAGACTTGTATACCCTTACTAAGAATGGGAGTTTTGTGGGAAAGGGATATGCATGTAATGGGATGTTCAAGTTGAATGTCGAAATTAATAAGATGAATTCTTCAGTTTACATGGTGTGTGATTTGAATGTTTGGCATGCTCGTCTTTGTCATGTGAACACACGAATTGTGAAGAATTTAAGCAAGCTAGGGCATATCCCTAAACTCTCAATGAATGAATTTGATAAATGTGATTTCTGTAGCCAAGCTAAAATAACGAAAACGCCCATAAATCTGTGAGTAGAGAATCAGAACCCTTAGATCTTATTCATTCTGATATTTGTGAACTAGATGGGACGTTAACTAGGTCTGGCAAGAGATACTTTATCACTTTCATAGATTATTGCTCTGATTATTGCTTTGTTTATTTGATGAAAAACAAAAGTGAAGCCCTTGATATGTTCAAGGTATTTGTGGTTGAATTTGAAAATCAGTGCAATCGAAAGATAAAAAGACTTAGGAGTGATAGAGGATCAGAGTATGACTCTAATCCCTTCAAGGAATTCTATAGCTCACATGGTATCATTCATGAAACCACGGCACCATATTCACCAGAAATGAATGGTAAAGCTGAGCGGAAAAATAGGACGTTTACAGAATTAGTCGTGGCTATTGTGCTCAATTCTGGAGCTGCTTCTTCTTGGTGGGGTGATATTTTGTTGACAGTTTGCTATGTGCTAAACCGTCTTCCAAAAACAAATAGAAAAGAATCACCCTATGAGATCTTGAAGAATAAGCCACCTAATCTGTCCTATTTAAGAACGTGGGGCTGTTTGGCCTACGTAAGAATTCCGGATCCTAAGAGGATTAAATTGGCTAGTCGAGCATATGAATGTGTCTTCGTTGGCTATGCGGCCAATAGTAAGGCATATAGATTCTATGATTTGAATGCTCGTACTATAATAGAATCCATTGATGCTGATTTCTTTGAGACACGATTTCCATTTAAAACAAGAAATAGTGGGGGTAATGTACTACCTACTATTAGAGATAACGGAACTAGTGGGGGTGTTGGTTCTGAGGATGAACTCAGAAGAAGTAAAAGAGCTAGAATCTCTAAAGATTTTGGTGATGACTTTACTACAGTATTCACCCTTGAAGATCCAAAAAGTTTGCAGGAAGCATTAACTTCCGTAGATGCAGATTTTTGGAATGAGGCCGTTATAGATGAAATGGAATCGTTAGAAGCTAATAAGACTTGGCATCTAACAGACTTACCTCCTGGCTGCAAAGTCTTAGGTAATAAATGGGTTCTAAAAACGAAACGGAAACCTGATGGTGCAATCGAAAGGTTCCGAGCTCGCCTAGTAGTTAAGGGCTACAGGCAGAGAGAGAATATAGATTTCTTCGATACCTATTCACCAGTATCTAGAATAACATCCATTCGTGTAATGATTGCTCTTGCTGCCTTGAACAAATCTCGTGGTACACCAAATGGATGTTAAGACCGCTTTTTTGAACGGTGATCTAGATGAAGAAATCTATATGGAACAACCAGAAGGGTTTGTTATCCCCGAACATGCCTCGAAAGTCTGTAAGTTAGACAAATCATTATATGGTTTGAAACAGGCTCCAAAACAGTGGCATGAGAAGTTTGACACTCTCGTTCTCTCACATGGCTTTAAGGTGAATGAAAGTGACAAGTGTATTTACTGCAAGTCAGAAAATAACACATGTACTATCATATGTTTGTATGTAGATGACATGTTGATATTTGGAACAAAT